ACGAGCTCAATGCTCGTGAGACTACATCTGGATTAATCATCTTATATTCTTTTCTTTCAGTCCTCTTCAACTACAACGATGCGCCCGGTTCTACGCCCAACGCCCACCATCCCCCTGGTCTCTCCAGACGATGATTGGAAGGATTTCTCTCTCGACAAGCGTCAGGATCCCCCCGCTGTGACCGATTGTACGTTCTATACTTTTATTATAATTTTCTGCGTTGTTTGCGTTGGACGGGAATGAAGAACTGCCGGGTAGAACTTGACAGTCGGTTCCTGTCAACCCTCGCGTTTGAAACTGTTCGCGAAAGTTTGGCGGATGGATGCTGATATTCTACCAATATTTTCGTTTCAGCAGACCCAGACTGTTTAAATGTGACACCGGATACCCAAACCTGTTATCCGACCGGTGATACCGTCATATACCAAAATCAATGGACTCGGGTCGTCTGTAAGTGACAAGGGTTCTAGCTAATCTACTCCTCTAAATAATTCACTAGGGAACCCTCGATATGCATTGTTTGTTGGCGACAATGACGATGGTCAGGTGACGCTCATTTTGCGGAACGCTGAAAGCGATGAGCAAATAGGCAATTGGACACAACCGAACAAACTTGGCCGATTTTCTCTTGCAGTCGACGATAAATGGTGGGATAGACGCGCTGTTTCACTTTGGCAAGGCCAACCCCGAAACTGGACCTTTTACTGGCAGATCATCCCTTCAACACATACTATCAATGGCGGAGAAGCCCGTCAACCGACTTTTGTGGTCGTTCAGACCGCCCTCCCCAATTCATACATGTCTTCATCAAGCGCCTCATTGATTTCAGAATCCCTGGCATCTGTTTCACGATCAGAGGCTGCTGCAGAATCTTCTTCGGTCCAAGCTGCACAACAATCCAGAGACGCCGCACTGCAAAATTCCCGAAACAGCTCATCCTTTCCACCTTGGGCAATTGCGCTTATCGCTGTGCTCGGCGTAATATCAATTGTCTCCATTCTCACTCTGTTCTTTGTTCTCCTTCGTGGAGCAAGGCGAAGAAGAAATGGCCATAAGAGGACCTCAATGGGCTCAGAATCCCCTATGATGCAAGCCCCTGGAGATCCCATTTCCCCAACGGCCGCCAGTACCCAGGGTATAGGTAACAGGGCATCTAGTGTACTATCGCCGCCCGTCCGAAATGCTCCATCAATTCGATATAACGATGGAGGTTCCATAAATTCGCGATCGATTTCCGGAGGCGAGGGAGTCATCACGGGCTCGGACGCAGCCATCATGGCCGACGCGTTTCGAAAGGCGCTACGGAAACCCGATTTTGCTGACCGACCTCAGGAAGAGGGGGAGAGTCCTGAACAAAACGGTGCGAATGAAACAGAGGCATTACTGCTCAATAGAGAATTGGCCGAAGAAGGCAAGAACATCAGAAGCGTGAGCTCCGAGAGAGGGGTGAAGGTAGTCGACGAAGATGACAATCATCGATGACCCAATCTCTCTCAATGATTGAGCCGCCTGATGCAGCTCGCTAATGACAAAAGCGTTGCTTGTTCTGCCGTCCTCGCCGTCCTCCTTGTTCTCACCAATATAGGGATCAAATATGGCTTTGGCGGCACCGGCAAGCTCTCGACCAAGACTTGTTCCAACAAACCTCTGCCAATCACAACTGTAGAACCATCCCGCGTGTTACAATTCACATCTTCAAGGAGCCATCGCTGTTGGGCCTAGTGCCCATCCTGTAATTTTATCAATCGGACATTTCCCCCGTCTCCATGCATCGTTCTCCCTCACACTGGCCCTCCGCACTCCCCGTTCTCCTGCTCAAATGAAGCGAGCTGGAAGACCTCCCATCTCTGTCCACCCTTCTCCAAGTTGCTGGGGTGCCTCTGGCACCTTGAGCGACAAGCTCCCAATTTTTCTTGACTGCGAGGACTTTCATGTTTGGTTTGATATTTCTTCATCCATGACCCATTAATTCCTCCAACCTGACGCCTGCACCCTTAATATGACCCGGCGGTCCGTTATCACCGTCGTAACCAATCTCCTTCGCCTCATGGCTTCCATGAAGAGAATGTGCCGCATCGCCTCTGTTGTCGTGTGAAGGACTCCCGCTGCGATCCGCCGTCTATAAGCTATGGCTTTGGCAATCCGTCCAAAACTCTAAATGGCGTCCTGTCCAAAGAAGTGCACTGTTTGTAGAGTTCCTCAACAGTGTCCTCATTTACAATCTTTTTCCCTCTTCCCCCTCTCTGGTCCATTGCTCTCCTGGGTGCAATAGGTTGTGTTCCTCTTCCCGTCTCTTTCTGTCCGCTTTGGCCAGTTTTCTGTCATCCCGCTACTTTTGCAGTCTTTTCTGCTCAATAGACTTTTAGGGAATCCTAATTTTGGACTTTACCTCTGAGGTCGCATTCTGCACCATTAAGTGACTTTGCAAGAAAAGTATCTACATGAACGATTTTAATGTCTATTGTATAAGAGGTCAAATGGAAGGCGTTCAAAGGAAAAATAGCTTGAATAAAGATAAGAACGCGAATACCTAATTCCTACTTTCCATTAAAAACAGAGAAGTTTGTCCTCTTTCAGCCGAATCACTTTGACTGTGCCAAATACTCATGTGCATGTTGTAGTTGAAGAGGACTGAAAGAAAAGAATATAAGATGATTAATCCAGATGTAGTCTCACGAGCATTGAGCTCGTTTACAGTAATGGTACGGCGCAATGGGCAGGGGTCAAAACGAGAACAAAGCAAGGCAGTTAACCACGTCTGACGCAAGGTTCCCCCAATTCAGAGGGTCTCGAATTCACAGTTCTCATGGGAGCGCAAGGTTTCTCATGACGGAAGAGAATCATTAAACAAATCCTGAATGAACAATGAAAACAAATGCAAGACAAAAATTATAAACCCAAAACCAGCATCACTTCAGCAGCCGCTCATGCAGCTCAGCAGTCCTCAGTCGGGCTCGGAGATACTCTAGGCGTTTATCATATCGGAGGGCAACATTTGATCTTTTCTTCCTGATGTCATCGAGACCGCTGTCCAACGCGACCTGCTCAGGATCAATCTCTCCTTGCAGTACATCATTGGGGTCGGCTCTTCCGTAGATCGCCCCCATATTTCCCGAACGCGACCGTGACAACTTGCCGTGTGAGGTAGAGCCCACTCTGGTATCCATTGTTAGATTCGGAGAAGAGCGATTTGACTGCGAAGCAACCATTGGATGCAGTGAACCGTTCGATAACGATCCTCGGAGTGCAGGTGACGTTGACGTCGAAGCAGACAGTGGGGAAGTAGCTGACGTCGGGAGAGGTGGTAAAGGCGGCAGAGCCTGAGAGCGTCTGCCGGATAAGAAGTTAAGAGAACCCTTCCTCTGTAGCGCCGCAAAGCTTCTCATTGATGAGGAGGAAATGCTAAGTCTAGACGATTGCTTCTCCTGTGCGGCAACTCGTTTGATGTCCGGTAAAGGCTTCATATCGAGGTTGCCATCCCTTGGACTTGGCAGTGGATTGCTGTCCAGGCCGGGTCGCCCTCCCAGGGCAGGTCGGTGCTTCGTCATGACTGTCATCTCTAACCCATTAAACATATCGGCTACTCTTCTACTCTCTTCTTCCAGGCTTAGTATTTCCGCTCTCAATTCCGCTGCAGTCCAATCGGGACCTATCTCGTCTGACCATCCTCCCTCCGATGGCGCATGTCGGCGATGATAAGATGAAGGAGGTCGGCTCCGCGACGTAGTCCTTGACAGTATTGTTGCATTGTCGAGCCCGCTTCGGTTGGTTCTCCTCGATGCGATAGACCTCACATCATAAGCACCTCCGGAGGTCCCAACTCCGGCTGATGTACTAGTTCCCACTGAACCAGTTGAAGCTTTATGCACAAGTGTGCGAGGTAATGCTCCTCGTTGGAACATTGAGCTGTTACGCGAGTAAACCGAATCTCCATCGTTCCCGCTTCCGCCGAAGCTGGTGCGTCCCGTGGTTGATGAACGCCGTGTTGCCTTTCTGATCAACGAGGTAATGGCCGTCTGTACAGAAGAAGTGTGCGAGTGGTTCGAGGGAAAAAGATTGTAAATGAGGACACTGTTGAGGAACTCTACAAACAGTGCACTTCTTTGGACAGGACGCCATTT